TCTTCTTGTTCCAGTTCCAGAATCCAGACTGTTTTTTTCTTTTTCTTGTTCCAGTTTCATACTCTGTTTTTTCTTTTTCTTGTTCTAGTTCCAGACTCTGTTTTCTTTTTCTTGTTCCAATTCTAGACTTTTTTTTAATTATTTTTTTTTTGATGTCTGAAACTCTGATGACTCTCCGAAGCAATCTCTGTTTTTTTGCTGATTTCATTTTTTTCCTACATACACATCCATGTTCGTTCCAGATTGGTTTTTTTTTTTTCAATTAATTTGTTCTTTTATATTGGATGACTCTTCTTACATCATTTGGTTTATTATTTTTTTCATGGATTAACAGACATGGCAAGTGGAAGTGGATCCACAAGTACCTCCTCAAAATCAAAAAAATCAGAAGATGATATTGGGTGGAAATACAACAAATTAGTAGACCCTAATAATACAAGTCGCATGATGTGTAACTTTTGCAATAAAGTTACAACTGGTGGGATAACTAGAGCAAAGCGACATCAAATAGGGATTAAGGGAGATGTGGCAGCTTGTCCTAGTTGCCCACAAATGGTTAGGGATGAATTGTTTGCAAACCTTCAAAAGAAAAATTTAGAGAAGGATATGTTATCTGGTGGCAATAGTAGTTTTGATGATGATTTTGGTTTTGGTGATGATGAAGAGGAAGTTGAATTAAGAGAATTGCCAAGAGGATTTGTTGGTTCTAGTTTATCTATTGGAGGGTCTAAGAACAAGAAGGCTACGACAACCGGAAGAGCTAAAGGCCCGATGGACTTATTTATGTATCAAAAGCCAGAAGCTGTTCTTGAAAAGAGAAAGTTGAAACATGACAAGGGTAGACAATTAAATATGAAAGAGTATGACAAAGAAATGAGGCCATTGACAATTCAATATATTGCCCGATTCTTTTATGAAAATGGGATTGCATTCAATGTGGCCCGTTCAACAAGCTTCAAAAAAATGGTAGAAGCAATTGGGCAATATGGACCAAATCTCCGGCCTCCTAGTTATCATGAACTGAGGGTTTCTTGCCTTAACAAGGAGTTGGAGCACACAAAGAAGCTGTTGGAATACCATAAGAGTCAGTGGACAAGATATGGGGTTACTCTTATGTCCGATGGTTGGACAGATAGGAAACAAAGGAGCATCATTAATTTCTTGGTCAATTCTCCTGCTGGTACAATGTTTATTAAGTCCATTGATGCTTCCTCTTTTGTAAAAACTGGAGAAAAATTGTTTGAGTTGATTGATGGTGTGGTGGAAGAGATTGGAGCAGAAAATGTTATTCAACTTGTTACAAATAATGGAAGCAATTATGTTGCAGCCGGTAAGCTATTTAGTTTTTTTTCTTTGTGAAATGAAATCATTCAATTCTTCAATTCATTCATTCTGATTTTCCTTTTTCTTTCTTTTCGGTTCTGTTTTTTTTTTGGTAGTTTGATTTTTTTTTTCTTTGTGAAATCATTCAATTTTTCAATTCATTCATTCTGCTTTCCTTTTTTTTTTTTTTTGGCATTTTGATATTTTTTTATAGGTAAATTAATTCTGATTTTTTTTATAGGTAAATTATTGGAGGAAAAGAGAAAGCATATATTTTGGACTCCATGTGCTGCACATTGCATTGATCTTATGCTAGAAGATATTGGAAAGATTTCAAAAGTGAAGCGGACAATACAAAGAGCAATGAGTCTTGTTGGATTCATCTACAACCACTCAAGTACCCTAAATTTGATGAGGCAATTCACTAATAACACTGAGTTGGTTAGACACGGGGTGACAAGGTTTGCTACCACATTTCTTTCATTACAAAATGTGTATAAGCAAAAAAACTAATCTTAGAAAAATGTTTACGTCTGATGATTGGACGAACTCTAAGTTGGCTAAAGACTCCAAAGGAGTAAAAGCAATGCAAACTGTGATGGCTGCTACATTTTGGAATGGTGTATTGCATGCTCTTAAAGTTATGGGCCCCCTTGTTAGTGTTTTACGACTTGTTGATAGTGAAAAGAAACCGGCTATGCCTTATATTTATGAGGCAATGGGCAAAGCAAAGGATGCCATCAAGAGATCACTAAATGAGGATGCAAGCAAATACAATGAAATTCTTGATATTATTGATAGAAGATGGGAATGCCAACTTTATCGTCCTTTGCATGCAGCAGCTTATTATTTAAACCCGGCAACCTTTTATGGCACTCCAAACATGGATTTAGACTTGAGGCTTACGGGTGGATTGATGGAGTGTATTAAGAAGATGGAACCTGATATGGAGATGCAACTCAAAATATATGAGGAGGTGGCAATTTATAATAGAGGTCAAGGCCGTTTTGGTGAAGAGTTGGCAATTGCATCAAGGGCTTCAAAGGCTCCTGGTAAGATACTTTTGAATTTTAATTTTCTTGTTAGTATTAAAATTAAATATTTTAAATACTAATCATAATTTTACATTTGAATTTGTAGTTGAATGGTGGACATTGTTTGGGCATTCAGCTCCAAATTTGCAAAAACTTGCCATTAAGATTTTGAGCTTGACATGTAGTGCATCTGGGTGTGAGCGTAATTGGAGTGTTTTTGAGCAAGTAAGCCTTTAATCTTATTAATTGTTAGTCAATGAATGCTTCAAAATTGATTTTCTATAGAAAAAAAATAGTTATAATTTTTTTTTTTTTTTTTGCATTTTCAGATTCATTCTAAGAAGAGAAATAGACTTGAGCACCAAAAGATGCATGACTTGGTTTTTATAAAATACAACCAAGCACTCAAAGCTCGATATGATTTAAGAGATGAGATTGACCCCATTAGTTTAAGTGATGTTAATTATGAGAATGAGTGGTTGATTGGAGAGATGGACAAGGACAACAATGAAGATGCTGAAAATGATTTAGTCTTTCCAAATGAAAATTTGACATGGGGAGATGTTGAAAGGGCATCGGGAGCAACAGAAATTAGAACTTATACTAGGGGGCAAGCAAGAAAAAATGCAATCCCAACTCCAACCTTTAGAACTCCAATTACAACCTCTAGATCTAGAGTTGTTGAAGAAGTAGCTAATTTAAATTTTGAAAAGTCAGACGAGGAAGAGGAGTTTGAGACAAGTGCAGGTGAAAAAGGCCAAGTTGATGATAATGATGATTATGAGGCTGAGGAAGAGGAAATGGAAGCTGAAGGGAGTGACTTTGATTATTAGATTCATGATAAACTTTATATTCTTAATTTGCATGTATTGAAACTGTTGGTGACTCAGTATTTATACTTTTTAATCTTGTTATGTTATGGGAGTTCTAAATTTTTAAACCTTTTCCATAGGAATTTTATCATGTGATGTGCTTGAAATATTATTTTATTTTTGTTACTTTTTATTAGGTTATTTTAAGCATTTTTATTAGCAGGTATGTCAATTTTTAATCATATTTATATTTTTTTAAATTTTTTGCCGCTATTTTGTCAATAGCGGCCGCTTCGCTATCCGCTATGTTATCATAGCGGATTTTGGCCTTCCCGCTATTTACCGCTATCCGCTACTGATAACACTGATTAGTATTCTGGAACCTGGAAAACATAGTAAAATCGGAATATTTGTTGCAGATGCTTTAATAGTTTAATTGGAATAGCTATGGTCTCTATACCA